AAGAACATCTGTGAAGTCCATGTTGAGCAAAAGGGTTACTTAGTTTTTGTGTTCGTGAATTGTGCTGTGTCCCCTTAATGAGTGAGAACCACTTAGCCTATTTGGAAAGCTTAGCGTTTTTCTGTGGATGACTGGCTTGTAGGACAGAACCAGGAGCGATGGCCCACCCTGTATGTCATTCACAACAACCAGTAAGTTTGCGCCATTGATGGAATAAAAAGGGAAAATGAAATCTCCCCATTTTTCTGTGGATGAGCTCTGATGTTTGCCGTTGCATTTGGATGTTGTTGTTCTCATGTTACTTCAGGCTTCCAGCATCAGTTCTTCATCCTTCTAATGGAGATTCAGCAGCACGGGAGGAGGTTGTTGTGGAAGACCATGTACCAGATGTAGTCAGATAGATCATGCCTTTTAACCTCATTCTGCCACACTCGGACATAACCTTGCTAATGTCCTAGTCATGTCTCAAGCCAACAAATGTGAAAATAGAAGTCTAACCATCAAGGTGAGAACATCACTTTGGAGAAATTAATATGCCTAAGGAGAAAAACTTTCAAACTGTGAAGAAGAAAGCAAATACGGAAAAATTACTGTGTTATATTCTTAGCTGTCCCACCCTCATCACAGTGAAGTAATTGCGGGTGGGGCTACATTGCAGCGATCACTCTGGCCTTCCAGGTGTGATAAGTTATTAGAAAGTTGGATTTCCTTGCATGAAGTAAGTTGCCTTTCTGAGGTACTTGAAAATGTTAATTTCATCTTGATTATTTTACATTAATACTGCTAACAAATACAACAATATGTTTGTTTTTTAAATAATTATATTCCCTATTGACATGCTTTTATTTTCTTCACGGAAAGTGATTAGACTGACAAATAATGGTCAGAAAATCTGTAATATAAAGTTAAATGTTTGGTTCAATTTTTGCACTCTATGTTAGTACTTTCCTTCTAGTCCACAGTGTTCTGCCATTTCCTGTACCCCAAGTCTCCAGTGGATTTATTGGTTTTCTCTTTGTGTGTTTGAGTCTGCAAATACAGTAGTGGAGCTGTGATCCCCTCAGCAGGAAGAACAAATGTAAAAAGCCCACAGAATACAGTAAAGACAGAAGGGGCTCTGCAAACTTGGCGCAAATCCTGCTTCAAATCAACAATCCAACAGGCTGCGTCAAGTCAGTATACCTGGGAAAATACCTGGGCAGGCAAGGAACTTTACAGTCAGTCATTTGGGCTTCTCTCAAGCACATGGTGTATTGTCTTTGTTTGCCTTCTGACTCAGTGATCAGAACAATGAGCTGCTTTGCATCTGGCAGGATGATTGCGTGTTGTGTGAACTGTCAAATGAGATACGCTGGCAGGGAATAGAGTCTTGCTTTTCAGGAAGCAAAGTCAAAAGCTCACAAAGTGTTGCCTAGAGATCCCCAGGCTGACCCAGCCTGATTGCTCTGTGGCCTCCACTGACTGGTTGCATGGGAAGGAGCTGCTGCACCTCAATCTCCAAGAAGATGATTGTGCAGGACCAAATGATCAAAGATGAGAGTATGATTTTTGTTGGAGGCATAGGTTCTTGTTGCAAGTGAACAGAACCAGCTTTGGCAGGATTTCAACCTCAGCCTATATGGCAAAAAATCTGGCTTCCTACCTGTCAACACTCTCTGGTATACATTAGGGCTTTTCTGTCCCTCAGGAAGTGGTGGAGGCTTCTACCAGGAGCTGAGCATCCCGTCGTGTATGAGACGGGTGATTTTACTGTGGCCAGAGCCCTGACATTCCCAGCTCAGGGCCTGCATCCCCACTCCTCACCACGCTGTGCAGTGAGCACAAGGGTTGTGAGGGAGAGTCCTGACTGATGGGAAGTATCTGTGTGAGTTGGACTGGTCTATTTTGAGTTCTTGTTTCACCCAACAACCATCAAGTATGGTAATTTATATGTACAGCATCCACTAAATGTCTCCTAAGTTTGAACACTGAATGCTTTCTGTGGATACATTCACTGATGAGGTCAGTATCAGAATGTGCTCTTAAGAGGTGGGGGTTTTTGGAGATGGGTTACTACAGTCACAGCCTGGAAGAGTGTATTCTTGTCTGTCCTAGTCCTACCTTTCACTTCTTTCTGGCTGGCATGGTTTCCTCCATTTGCACTTTGTCATGCTGTTTCTGACTTGGAAAAGGAAGACATGAATACAAAGAGTGAATCAACATAAACCCTCCTCCTTTCAGTTCAGGTTGTTGGGTATGTGGTCCCAGTAACAGAAAAGTGGCTAAGGTACATAGTTATGCTAAATTTGTTAAAAGTTGAAATATGAAATCTGAAACAGGTTGTATTCTCCACTCCGGGCTTTATTTTCATGATGGTAAGTCTCAAAATTATCAACCACTTCCACACAAGTTTAAAGTCATTAAAGGACAATAACCATTGATAATTTCCTACCATTTTGTCTGTAATTTGCTAAGTCCCCCCTATTATTATGTTATCCTTCTTTTATTCTTTAAAATAAAAATTAAAAAAAAATAAAGTCATTAAAGGGTATTCACAAATCATATAAAAATTGCCGAACACTGTTTCACATTGCCTGTGATGAAGATCATTATTGGGGTCCTTCCTACCCATACTAGAACTCTTTTCTTATATCCAGAGCAGTGCAGTACATGAATCACCTAACCAGTAAATAAGGTCTTGTGGTTTATAATACCAAAAATTAGATGATATTTTTCAATTTAAGGGAAGATGAAAGTAATGATACAAAGAACAATTTGCATAAGGGACTGCTTTTAAACCCACATTTTCAAACCCTTTAATGCAGGGTACATACCAGTACCTATAATTCATGTTTTAGTGAGGAGAGAAAAGTAGCACTGCTCAGTTAGTTCTTATAGCTCATTTGTAGTTTGTAGACAGTATTCAAAAAGGACATGCTAAATAAAGTAGGGACTTTGATGGCAAAGTGTACTGAATCAGGGAAAGTACCATGTGCAGGTGTGCATGCATATCAGTCAGAGACATAAAAAGTTTTCCGTGTAGGAATATAGAAGAAGAAGTACATATTAATGTAGAAAAGTAAGGGATGAAGAAAGATAGAAATATCAGCTCCTGAACCAGGATCTTCCCCTGAGGGTATTTTATTGGTGACTGAACCTGGGACTTTCACTCTGACTGACACAAAGCCTTTCACATGCTTAGTAATACTATTTTGAATTTTCACAGGAGGTCTTGGTATGGAGCTCAGACTGAGCTTGACACCATTATCCTCTAACCTTTGCCTGCCAGGGTGACAGAATCACGTGTGGATGACCAAGCACAACTAGGTAGCAGAATCACAGTGCTTGGTTAAATTCATCATCTTCAGTTATTCATTTTAATGTCAAGAATGTTGAAAATATTTATCATTGACAATGTGTAGGAGTCATTTGAAATTGATGCCCTAAATAAGTGTCTATGAATTTTGAGATTTGTTCTATATGTAGTGTAATTTTTAAGTAAAATTTTCCCTAGATTCTAGAGGAGAGAATCTGTGACTATCACAATTTTCTACACCACAGGAATGCCCTTCTCTTTTTATCATAAGCCACTTTGAGCAGTAGGTTTATTTTTATTAGTAGTGTGACTCAGTGTGCCACATTTTCAGAACTTCAGAATGATGACTTATGAAAAACATCACATGTCTTGGATGGCAGTCTTCAAGAAGTATACTACAACTGCTAGAAATTTGTCGCCATTTTGGGTGGTGCATTGATTTGGGGCACACCATTTTTTCTTGAAGAATAGGTTAGTACTCAGCAAACAATACACACCTGAGTTTAAAAGGAAGATTGGGAAAAGTCAAAGGCAAACTTCTACTGATTGTGGGTATTTGTGTCTGCTCAGTACTGAGACCTTGGACAAGAGAGCAATTTCATCCTGGGAAGATGGCTCACTGTGATGTGAAGAAGCCTCAGACTTAACTTTGCTGACTTTCCTATTTCCCATTGTCCCCATGTTATTTACCTACCCTGTACTACATAGGCACCGAGAATTTTGAGTGACCTTGGAAATCTGTTTAAGCTTCTGAGTTGGGGGGTTCCTTGTGAATGAAGTAAAGGAGGGTTTTTCCCTCACCAGCTTTCCATTTGCTTTTTCTTGCAGCCAGTTGCTTCTTTAAAATACAAATTGTCTCAAAGACTTGAGAATTACATTTCAAGAATGCACCATAAGATTGTGGTTTTCTGAGTTTAAAATGAATATAATGTTGATAACACGTGAAGAAACAAATCCTTAAATGCAATTATTTGCTTTGCATTTATCATGAATATGTGTAAAGATCCATAGAATCCTGATGGAGGTGAGGAAATCAACTGTGTTTGCCTCCACTATTTTCCCTTTATTTCATATAGATACCCATAAAGTGGCCATAGAATGGAGTTTTGCGAGTGATAATGAATTAGTATTTTTTTTAGAATAAAAAAAAATACTTGGGCCAGGGATATAGCTCAATGGCACAAGTGCCTGCCTGGCAACCACAAGGTCCCGAGTTTGATTCCCAGAACCAAAA